TTGGTGATCCTTTATTGGAATGTGAGAGACATGATTATCCAAACCATGGTGGGACGCTCAATGCACTTCAAACGCACACATATTATTGAAATTTTACTTTCTTCGACAAATTTATATAATCATGAATATGAAGAAAGCTTCTCTTGGATTTAACTTCTAAATAACCATGAGTTTACTGTACCGTTTTTTAATACAACATGTGTGGTGGAGATTCAAACTCATAATCTTTGACCTAGATGTAAGTGCATTGACCAGTTCAACTATGCTCAAGTTGACAAGGGTCTTGAGCTTTATGATATCACCTACCATGAGGTATTAGATTCAAATTCTGCACTGGTCACTATGTTGTTCAGCCTAAGCAAGGAACCCCAATTATAGAGATTCACACCGTAAGTCACACGACATCGATTTGAAAAAAAAAAAAAAACTCAACAAAATCGTCTAGAAAACTTATCTTATCAAATAGTAAGACAAAACTAAAACACTTTGATATTGCACATTTTCAACAATCTATTTCCAACAAGTTATCATTTTTTAGGGTGAAAATTGAATATAAATATCACCCATTCTAGAGTGGATATCCCTATTGTTGCTGTCTTCATTCAAATCCTTGTGTGTGGTGCACTAAATGAGTTGGCCAATAAATTAAAGTCTTCCATGTGCTTCTTCTAGTCATCATAAAGGCTAGAGCATTATTTACAAGCTTAGTTTCAGTCATAATCCAAAAGGGTATGAAGAGACCATAATGGGGCACTTGGTTTCTATTTTCAAAATTGAGACCACTGAGGAGATGGCACTTAAAGCTTCATCTTTGAATCTCTCCACCAACATTATTTGAAAATGGTTTTATACAATCTAGTTAGGTTAGAGAGAACCATTTAGAAATATTCTTGATGAATAAGTTAAAATCTTTATAAATAGAGAGGAAATAACAATGCGAGATTCAAATACAAGACTTCCTGCTCTGATACCATGTTAATGGATTCATAAATCACCGCTCAATCAAAAAGCTTAAGCTGATGGGTTAGATAAATTTAATTCATATATTGAATATCTAATAAATACCATAGACTTTTTCTACGAAATAGGGAAGGTTTGGTGGCATTACTAATTGCACTTTAATAGTACATTTTTTAGATAATTGTGTGGTAAAGGGGTTATTTGCTAAAAAAAAGTGATTAAAATAATTTCACTCTTTAATTTCTATAAATTTTTCAAAAGTATTGATCTTGTGAAGGATTTATTATTTGGCGAAAAAGAAAAAACACTATATACTATTGAGCCATGAAACGATGTCGTTTAGCTTACCGTAGACCAAAACGGTGTCATTTTACACTAATTAAAATGACCCTATTTTAATTAGACCCTTCCATGACTGTTCAATCGTTTTGATGGGAGCCTTATGATCACTAACTTTTGAACATGAAAAGACAACGTTTTGCTCAAGTGGGAAACGTGTTGAGAAAAATGTCCAATGTGCAATTCACCTAGTCCTCAACACAAGCTACCCAATAGAGCCTAACTAGGATTCTTACCCATCCATAGTTATGAACACTCATAGTTGAATCAATACAATAAAGAAAATATAATAGAGACAAAAAGTACACAGATTTATACTAGTTCACCTTAAGCATCGACTATGTCCAATCTTCTGTGATGTGCGAGTTTTACTATGATTGAGAATATTACAATCGACATCACAAACGTTCTACAAAACTCTCTCTAGATGCCTGAATAATGGCCACCTAGCTTCTAAGCACTACAGCAAAAGATACTTAGGAATATAAGAGTAAAAATCTCATTGAGACACGAGAATAGATTACCGACGACGCACCACTGCTCAAAATCTCGTTCTCTGCTCTCTGCCAATGTTCCGTCACTGTCCATCTTTAGTTTTGCCACACAACCGACCTTAAAACACCGAAAATAATTGCGACAGCCTCGTAACATTGTCTCAAGCGCCATGGCGCTATGAACGCAAACCAAACGCTCCGCACATCTATGCAGCGTTGCGGTGCTATGGCTATTACCTATCATCGAAAGTCCGATTTCTAAAAAATTTTAAAAGTTTTCGTAAAATGAAGCACCTTTTTGAAAACTAATTCATCATATTTCCAAGACCTCTGATATCTAAAATACCCAAGACAAGGCACTCGCATAGAGTTGGTTGGTGCAATCCCAACAAATATTTTCTCGTCGATTTTTTTTCTTTAATGCAAATGTGGAGATCTTTATACAAATGAAGATTAAACATTTAACTTCTAGAGAAGTTTTTAAATTATTAACAAAGATGATCATGTAGATCTTTATCCAAATTGCCAAAGCGAGCATAGCTTAACGGTAATTGACATATACCTCCAACCAAGTGGTTGTGAGTTCGAATCCACTCCCCAACAGGTTGTATTCAAAAAAAATTGACAAATGGACTTTCATACAATAGTTGTGTTATATTGGCCTTTTCATCTTTATCATAACTGATAAATGAAGTCTTTGTAAATTATTGATAAATTGCATCATTTGGTCACTAAAGTCGAAAAAAGAAATCATACATTGACTTTTAAAAAAAAACAATCATACATTGACTTGATAACTCTGCTCTGCCTAACTACTACAAACTTCCATGTAGAAATAATAGTTTGGAAAGAAATTAGGTTTTTTTTTCTTTAATCAGGTTTAAATGTTATTTTAATAATTTAATTCATTTCGATCTCTGTATGTTCAATTTTTTGTTCATTTTTTTTCATAAATATTTCTTGTTCATTTTAATCAATTTTTTGTATTGAAGACTAGCACTGCTCTGTTGACGGCCTCGAAGCAGTCTTTGGCGGCGTGCCACCTAGGGTTCTCACGACACAATGCATCCCATTGTCAGCAAACTCCAAACTTTGATTCGTTTTCCTCTGATCAAATATTGAAATGATTACAGTACAAAAATTATTGGTCAGAACTAACCGATCATTCTACAACTACTTAGAAAACAGATACTTAAAATATAATCATAGTACAAAATTAACAAGAATATATCTCAGTATAAAAATTATTGATAAAAACTAACTGCATCATTTTAGAATTCCAAGTTAATTAACAAAAATATAAATATAAAATAAGAAATCCAAAAGTATTTAAGATCTGAAAACAACAATTAAGAGGAATAAATACAATTTTTTGTATAATTTTCATCTATCTTACTATTTTTAACTGGTCTTGTATTCCTCTCAAGGGACTGAAGATTGGGTTGAATGTTTTGAGAATTAGTTGAAATATATTTCCATTTAAATTAACAAAACTTGTTTTTAATTCAAAAATATATAAGTATAAAATAAGAAATTCAGATGTTGATGAAAACAACAATCAAGTGGGATAAATACAAATACTAAATATAATTTTACAGGAATCCAAATAGTTGAAAGAGAAAACAACAATCACCTATGTTAATTTATAAAATAAAACACTAAAAATATGATCACGGTACAAAAGTTCACATCAATTTAGAAAACAAATAGCTCCGAATATCACAGTACAAAAATTATTAGTCAAAACTAACCACGTAAATTTAGAAATCCAAATTAATTAAAAAATATATAAATATATAAATTAAAATAAGAAATCCATGGAAATTCAGGAGTAGTTAAGATCATGAGAACGACAAGAAGGATAAATAAGAACATTAAATATAATCTTATACCCAACCTTTTCATCAACTAAAATTAATTTTTGTATTCGTAAATCTTCGTGCTTCGATGTTTCCCTTACGAAGAACAAATACTTTTAATCTCCAGTCTTTTTGGAAAGGTATGAGTTTTTTGATTAAAACCTAAATGAACCAAACAAATGAACACCAAAATGAACATTTTGAAAGCAAAAGAACCCAAATGAACCAAACAAAAAAAAAATACAAAAACTAAAAATATATTAAAACCTCCAGTGAAACACTTACCTTACTAACATTTTTAAAATTCAAAGAAAAATACATTAATTATATGACTCTCCATACTTCCAAGTGTTGTCAAGTTCTTCCAGACACTTTGATTTCTAGTCAATTAGTATTGAAAGTTCTAAAAAAATGTTTTGAGGAGCGAAATGCCCTTGAGACTTTTAAAATACTTGTCAATATGAGCTAGTTCGGCAGTAATTAGGACTTGTCTTTCACCAAGAGTCTTGAGTTTGTATTCCACTACCTCCACTTGTGTTAAAAAAAAATAATAAAAAAAATCAAGCTAATTTCTCTACAATATCTTCATTTCACATCATTAGATTGATTGATCTCATAGTTCAATCTATTGTAAATGGTACTTGCATATATTTACCATGCCCATATTCAAACAGCTAATACAGTATCTGTACAAATGCAAGAAGAAGAGAGAATTAAAACTAAGGTTCATGCTAATCTAATTAATGAAACCTAATCTAATCACCCAGGAGACAGAGTGGCTGCCTCATGCTCAGCTCCATCTTGAGGGCAGGAAACTTCTCCAAATCATGAGACAGGCTTAAAATTTTCTGCATGTGAGTAAACAACTACCTGTGTTATAACCAATGTAATTCTAACAAGATATCCAACTTGAAATATTTGTGCAAAACCTAACATTATTTACAAGTTTGGCCATTGAACCTCAAAAGTTATGTCTATTTAGTCTCTCTACTTCAAAAAGTTTTGAAAAGTTTTGAATAGGTTCCTGAATTTCCCTTTGCTTCAAAACTCAAAAGGTTTATAGTAACTTAGTAAGTTTTTGAACTTTTAATTTTGCGTCTAATAGGATTCTAATCATTAATTCTTTCAATTTAGTTCTCATGAGGCAGGCTGGTTTTATTACTTAAAGGATCACACGGTAGACAATTTTCACCAAATTTAGATGTTTGATGGGATAAGTGTTGAACTGATATTGTCAACAAAGTCCAGAGACCTGTTAAAAATCTTTTGAAGTATAGGGACTAAATAAGCACAGTCCATTTAAAACTTTAGGACCTATTAAAAAATTTTGAACTACACGGACTAAATAGGCATAATTAGAGATCAAAATGTAACTTCTAATATTATTCCAAGCTAGAAATGAAGTTGAACCCAATGCTGAGCAATCATGCCAAGAAAAATGGAAGGAGATAAAAGAAACAGTACTTACCAAAGCAGCAAGATGTGCTTGTTCCAAAATATTCCCATCTATCTCCAACCTTGCAACTGGAAACTCTGGAAGATGCCCCGACTGTTTTTTACCAAGCAGATCACCAGGTCCACGTAAAAGAAGATCAAATTCCGCCAAGCGAAAACCATCCGACGAATTCTCCAACACCTTCAACCGACTTAGGGCGCTTGCCGTAGATGCCACCAGTAAGCATCTAGACTTCTTCGTTCCACGTCCAACTCGACCTCTTAGTTGATGTAGCTGAGCAATACCAAATCTCTCAGCATTCATGACAACCATCATTGATGCATCAGGAACATCGACTCCAATCTCAATCACTTGGGTAGCAAGTAGTATCTGTGTATCTCCGTTCCTAAATCTCCGCAAAGCTTCCTCTTTCTCATCACTCTTCATTTTTCCGTGCAACAACCCACAGCTATAGTCATGAAATCTGTAAGAAATTGATTCAAGACCTTCTGAAGCAGCACGAAGCTGAGGCAGCTGTTCAGATTGCTCAATGACTGGATACACGAGATACACCTTTCCTCCTATTTCTAACTCATCCCGCATCATCTATAATGTAAGATCATTTTCGTCAAACAAGAATAATAAAATCAAAATATCATTGTTCTCTTATCCATATTTAAACTGTATCCTTTTCATATGCAATAGTGCATTCAAGGGTGCTAAAGTATCTAAATCAAGTACTGGCAAAAATTAAAACACTACAATCAACTCCAGAACAGATGCAGAATCTTAACTTTAGGACAGTAATTACCCACCCTCCCCAAGACAAGGAAAATAAGTAAACGAAAGCCCCACCTTTCAAGAAAATAAAGAAAAAAGACAAATTAAAGTTAAAACTTTAAATTTATTCGTTTATTTTTTAAAATATTTTCATACATATAAGAAGCATCCAATTTGTTAAATAAATATAAGACAAAAATGATGTTTCCACCAATGAACACGATTACGCTTCATCTAACAATATTTTTTACCAAAGCGAGCATAGCTTAGTAGTAATTGGCATATACCTCCAACCAAGAGGTTGTGTGAGTTCGAATCCCCTCCCCAACATGTTGTACTCGAAAAAAAAAAATCTAGCAATATTTTTTTGAAAAATGAAAGAATGTACAAGGACATACAAAAAAAACCAGTCCGATAAAAGAAGGCCCAGCTACATAAAAGAACTTCAATTCAAAATAATAGCACTTAAATGATTACAAAATAACAACCATCATGGGTGGTCAAGTGGTCAATAACGGCCATTTTAAATAGTAACGGGCTTAGAGGGAATGGGTTCAAACCATGGTGGTCACCTACCTAGATTTAATATCCAACGAGTTATCTTGCCAACCAAATGTAGTAGGGTTAGGCGATTGGTCCGTGATTAGCTGAGGTGCGTGCAAGCTGACCCAGACACGTGGATATCAAAAAAAAATGATACAAAATAACCTTAGTAACTAAGACCCACGAAGTGATATTCAATCTAATAAACTCTCGTATATCTTCAAGACCTCTCAAACCCCAAAATCTATTGTTTCTCATGAGCCAAATACCACACAAAATAGCAAACAAAATAGCGAAGAAAAAAGCCTGTCACAAAAACCTTCCCTCATCCAAAATAGGTTCATGTTCATGTAGCAATATTGTTTTCATTTCTCACAAAAGAAAAATTTATAAACATTGGATAGATAGAAATATAGATGACCAAGTATTTAGATCTCAAATGTAATGACAGGAAAATACCTCATAAACCTTCTCAAACCCTTCATCGTCTCCCACAATAGAATATGTTTTGACTGGTACTCGTCCAGGAGGCAAATCAGTTATCTGTTGTAAAAATAATCAAAGGATTACCGATGATAACAATTAATGGATCACTTCCATTAATAATTGAACAACCAATTGACAAAGAGACAGGTGTGGCCCTGGGGATAGCAAAAAGCACAAAAGAACACAAAACAGTGGATCATTTACATTAATAACTTGAACTTAAGCAAGACCAAATTATTTGTGGTAACGTTGCAATCCATCCATCACACAAAAAATTTCAAGTCTCCGCTCACTGTTCCACAATATCCCAAAGAGAAAAATGTTTTCTCCCTAGCTGATAGGCTTCACCTTGAAGAGTTAGTATTTACCTATCTTTTTCTGCCTTTTTCTTTTTCCTCCTTACAGGAACTGAGAGCTTGCTTTTGTTTCAGGACTTCAGTTTCCTTCTTTGTTTATAGCTCTAATATTTAGTAATTTTGTGATATCTAGAATATGTTTGTAATCCTCCTTATTAACCAAGAACATTATAACATACTATAATTAGGAATTTTGTCTTCTCTTTCCAATAAAAGGTTGTAGCCGGTATATTCTTTTGTAAACAAATTAATAATTTAAGCAGTTTAAACTTCCTGTGTTAGAGCGTGGAGAACATATTCTTCTAATCAGAGTGAAGCATTGCGATGTTTTCAATCAACAATGAAGCATCCAGCGTGTAGTGGCTCAGTCATGAAAGAAAAGGGAAAGAAGTAACTGCTCTGTTGTGTTAATCAAAATCCATCAATTCAGATTACAGCTCGTATGTTGTAATGGAAAATTTTTCTAAGGTGGCCCAATGCTTCAAGTTCTTTTATGAAAGAGGAAAAGTTGGCCTAGCTGGGCCGTTTAGAATGTAGAGAATTTATGATGATGGCATGCTTAGTAGACTATATGGAGCAAAAATTTCTTATGTTATAGGCAATTGAAGCTAGACAGACAGATGACAGAAAGTTGGACCTCTCAAACTTGTCCTGTAGAGTGAGTTACCATGGATGCAGGGAATAGCTGTGCCGGTATCTCAACTTGTCTTGGAGGTTCAAAATCAGAATACAAGGTTGGCGGGACAGAAATAAAACAATACAGAAGAAATAGGAAAGGAGAGAAAGTCAGATGATCTGCATCATTGATCTAGTTAGTAGTACCACATCTAAAAGCAGAAAGATGAGAAATATAGGTGTTGTTCGAATGTGCTTTTCATTTAACAATTTTCGAAAACATTTTTTTTCTTTGACAAGAATAGTTTACTGTAACTTTTTACTTGGGTTTTGGTCACAGCTCTTAGCTGGTGTAAGAGCTATTTTCCTTCTTTCCCTAGCTATAGTCTAAATGACCTTTTAAGGAATTGGAGAGCTTTTTTGTAACTCCTTTCCTTTTTTGTAT